TGCAATAAGCAGAATTTACAGAAATTGGTAGGAAAGGATGAAAATGAGGTGACCCTGAGCTGAATGCAAGATTTGCCAGGGAAAGGCAGGAGCAGAAAGGCTGGCGAGAACACACTACGGTTTTCCAGGTCAGTGCCATGCATTTGCAGGTGAATTAGAGCAGGTTTTGCTTCCACGTGGTGCAGGGGATGCTCCTCCTCTCCCTCGCTGTGCAACCTCCCACCGTACACCTCTTGTCTTTAAGCAGGAGACTCGTGCAGGTGTCTCCCATCACTCCAGCGAACGCCGCATGCTGTGATTTTCCTCCAGAAAGGAGAAAAACGAAGCATTTCTCCAGTATCCGCTCACCAACAAAACAACAACTGCAAAGGAATTTTTTCCAAGCTGCTTTTCTTTGCAATTTGGGCTCAGAGAAGCAGCACAGGCACGGCCCCAAGGGCAGGAACCTGCAAAGCCCAGTCCCAGGCACGCAACACGAGCAACCTGCCCTTTTGGGGCAAAGCCCAGCAATTTCCTGAGCAGCCTCAAACCACACTTGAATTTTCCCCTTTTTTCCCCCATCACCAGAGGTTGAATCCGGAAGCTGAAGTAAAACGCTAAGACGAGGGCTATGTATAAATATCTCGCTGCGATCAAAACTTGACATATTTAGCCCTCCTTTCATGTTTGCAAAACACGGCTCTGATTTTACACGGCTGTAAAACAAACCCGACCGCTGCTGATGAACATTTTATGGGAACATATTTCAGGCGACAAGCTGAGCGCCAGCTAATAAGCCAGCCCGGGTTTCAGCGATGCCAAGAAGCCATCGCCCTGCCTGCAGATGGGGCTTTCTGCCTTTCCAAAACCAGGGGCCCCGAGGCTCCGGCTCCATCGTCAGCCACTGTCCCACCGCTCTCCTCCCGCATCCGCCCTCATTTTCTCATCTTGACGGCTCCTTAACCCACTTAGCCCTGCCCAGGCAGCTTTTCCTGGCCAAAGGCAGAGCTCGAGGTTGTTTTAAAGGAAAAAGCTGTGCTGTGGGTGGGTGAAGCTTCCCGGAGGGCTGCATAACGCTTTGGGAAGGATCCAGCTGACCTAACGCGCAGCAAGCAAGCAGGCAGCTTCGTTTGGGCAAACAAAAGGGCTTTTTTTTTATGAAAAGGCAATGGATGGAAAAGCCCCAAAGGCTCCGGGCGCACTGCTCCACCAGAGGATGCAGCAGCACACCTCGTGTGCCCTGGGACGGGGCAGCAACGGGGCAAAGCACGGGGAGAGAATGCACGTGAGTGGCTCTGGAGCATGCACCATGCAAAATAGAGATGGCACTACAAAAAAAAAAAAAAAAAAGACAAGATTTGCCAGCGTCGCTTTGGAGGAGCGTTGCAGATGCTGAGCACGAGGGCACGTGCGCTTGTGGGAGAGAGCAGTGGGAGCCTGCGTCCCCTTCCTGGGGGCTGCAGCCAGATCCTGCTGCATCCCCGGCAAGCGAGGGGCAGGACCTCCCTGGGCACGTCCTCCCTCGCCACGCGCGGAGGTCGGCAGCAGCTCCAGCCAAGGATGCTGTCAGCCAAGGAAAAGCCATCTGCCCACTGAATTTCGGGAGCAGCTCTCCGTCGCTTGCCGGAGCATTGTGACGGGCACGCATGGCAATAATTATTATCTTTATTATTATTATTGCTTTAAAAGCAGAGAGGAAGCACTGGGTTTGGGGACAGCATTTCTCCACCAAGGGCCTGCGAGGAGATGCTTTGAGCAGCTCAGCCTCGGGATATGGGGAAACAGTGAAGTCCCAGTGGGATTTTAAGAGCCAACAACAGGTTCATGGAAGTATGAGTCTGGGTCCGTGAGACACCGCCAGCTTAGGAGCCATGCTCGGATCCTCCTCTCGCATCACTTCCCAACGCACAACCCCTGCCAGGGGCTGCCTCCGCACCCATGGCAAAACAACTTTTGCCTCCTTTTTTTCCCCAAAATCCATGCCACAAGCACGGGTTTACCCACATCCACTCACTCATTCTCCCAGATCAGCAGCGGAAGAGCAATTGTGAAAAAAAAAAAGAGGCGAAACAGAGGAAAACGGCTCCGTGCAGCGGTGACGGACAGCTTGCGGACGCATTGTTCCTTGAAAATCCTCCACCTGCTCCCCAAAACGGGGACGAGCAAAGAGGGACACGGGGCACAGAGCTGCGCGACGCATCCCCACCCGCGGCTCGGGATATGGCCACGGCCACACTGGGTGCAATCCCCAAAGGATGATTTTGTGCAATCCACAAGGCACAGGCGCCCCGGCATCCCAAACCAGAGAAGAATCGGCTCCTTTGTGTCAAGCCCGCAGAGCACGGCCGCTGCTCCCCCTCCCCGCGCCCTGCAGCAGCTGACGGCGGCTTTCCGTAGAGGAAAAAGTGTGCTAGAAATTAAAAACCAAACCCAAGCAGCGCCGAACGAGCTCTGCCACCCGATTCAGTCTCCCGGAGCTTTGCAAAGCAGCCGGGGCTTTGCCGCGCTCCTCCCACGGAAAGCGGCTGCCGAGACCCCACAGCGGGTGGCTTGGGTGGGCACGGGGGGGGGCCGTGAACCCGGTGCCTCCGAACACCCCCAGAAATGGAAGCAAGCGGCTGCCCCACAGCCTCCAAGCGCAGGGAGGGGAAAGTTTCCTGCCCTGTGCATTTCTGCCTCCTGGGAACCCCGCTTTTGGGGAGGGGATGCGAGGAGGGGGGTGGATGAAACCTCTGCAAAGCGGGCGTTGCAATGGGTTTCTGGGAGCCCGGCTGGATGGGGGGGGTCTTCTCCCTGCTGGGTACCCCCTCCCTCTTGCCTGTGGGGTTTGGGGTACCCCTGCATGTCCTCTTAGCAGGTACCCTATTAATGGGTGCCCTGTTAATGGCTCCAGTGCTCATACCAGTTAATGGGTTCAAAACCAATGCCTTGTTTGGGAGTGCCCTATTAATGGGTCCAAACTGGGTGCTCTATTTCCAAGTGCCCTATTAATGGGTCCAAATTTAATACCCTGCTACCGGGTCCAAAAACAGTGTCCTATCAGCAGGTACCCTATTACTGGATCCAAGCCAGGTACCCTACTAACGGGTCCAGTGGGGGTGCCCTATTCCTGGGTCCGAACTGAGTGCTCTATTTGCAAGTGACCTAGTAACGGGTCCAAACCCAGTATCCTCTTACTGGGTGCCCTTTACTAGGTCAAAATCTGGTACCCTATTAATAAGTCTGAACAGGTCGCTGTATTAGTGGGTTCCCATATTATCACGTCCAAAACAGGTGATCTATTTGCAAATATGTCCTATTAATGGGTCCAAACCTAATATCCCATTAACAACCCCCCTACTAAGGGGTCCAAAACCAGCGTCCTATTAACGGGTACCTTAATACTCGGTCCAAACCTGGCACCCCATTGATAGATCCAAACTGGCTGCATATCAGCGGGTTCCCCTATTACCAAGTCCGCATTGGGCACCCTGTTACGGGGTCCAAACCCGGTGTCCTATTTTTGGCTGCCCTACTAGCGGCTCCAAATCTGGTACCCTACTACCAGCTGCCCTATTACCGGGTCCGACCCGGGTGCCTGTCCCCTCTACCCCCCCCATATCACCCCCCAACACCTCCCCCAAACCCCTGGGGGGGGGGGGGATGCGGAGCCCGGAGCCACCGCACGCTTTCTGCGGAGCGGCTCCCCCCGTTATTCCGGGGCTGGGGGGGGCGGGTTAGAAGCGATCCCGTTTTTTATTTTTTTTTTATTTTTTTGGGGGGGGGAGCACTCACCCAGCGCCAGGTCGAGGAGATCCCAAAGCAGCAGGCAGAGGGGCAGGGGGCTCACGGTCCGCATGGTGCCCGCGGGGGGGGGCGCCCCATGGGGGCTCACCGCTGCCCCGACCCGGTGGCGGTGGCGGACGAGGGACCCGGGGGGGTCCGTGGGGCATGGCGGCGGGGCCGGGGGCTGGGCTCGGTGCCCCCCCCGCTCCTCGGTCCCGCCGAGCCGAGCCGAGTGCTCGCAGCCCGAGCCCGGCTCGCTGCCGGCCCCCCCCTCCCCCCCAAGGCTGAGCCCGCCCCGGTCCGGCCCCGGGGAGGGGCTGGGGGCGGAGGGGGGGGCCGTGGCTTGGATGGAGGGGGGGGGTGGGCAAAGGATGGGGAGGGCGGGGGGGGCTGTGGTTAGGATGGGGGGGTGACAGGGAGGGCCGTGATTTGGATGGGGGGGGCGGTGGATGGGGGGCTGGAAGGGCTGCGCGTTATATGGGGGTGCGGGGGGGGGGCTGCGCGTTGTATAGGGGTGCAGGAAGGGCCGTGCTTTGTATGGAGGCTGGGGGGGGGGGGCGGTGGATGCGGGGACTGGGGGTGCTGTGATTTGGATGGGGATGCAGGGGGAGCGGAATATAGGGGTTCGGGGGGGGGGGCTGTGCTTTGGATGGGGGTGCTCAGTGTGGGGGGGGCTGTGGGGTGCAGAAGGGGATGCTGGAGGCAGGCAGGGACTGGGGGGAGCAGGCTGGGAGAGCCAGAGGGAGCCGGAGAGCAGCGGTTTGCAGCCATGCCCCTAGCGCAGGGGGCTCGCTCCGGCTTCATTCAGCGCCTCCCCTCTCCCCGCAGCCCCCAGGAGCAGGATCCGGCCCTGGGGCTGTCCCCCCCCCCCCCATTTATGTGCTGGCCTGGATGTGCATCCCTCCGTGGCCCTCCATGGCAGATGACCTTGCTTTCATCCAGCTCTCCACGTTTAATTAGTTCCTGGGCGTTTTCATTGCAAAATTATCTTTTGCAATTTTGCCTTTGACTTGCCCGGCCCCATGGGGTTGCCCCGTGTCCCCGACACCTCTCCCCACAGCCCCCAACCCCAGCTTCACCCTCACATTTCTCAAAATCCCAGGAACTCCCCTCGTTTCCAGCAGCACCGAGCCTCGTGCAAACACCCCCCAACGTCCTCCGTAGGGGTCCCAGCTGCAAAAACCCAGCCTCTGCTCTGAGACCAGCACAACCAGCAGCACCAGTCGGACAAAATCCACTGGGTTACGGCTTCTTTCTTAAAATAACCAACCGCCGTAAAAGAAATCGGGCCCTGCATAGGTCAGCGCAAAATCAAATCAAAACAAATTAAATCAAATCAATTAATTGGTGAAATTCCTTTGCATGGGCTGGATTTGCTCTCCCACAGCCTTTCATTCACCAGGAAAAGCTGGGCGTGCTTTTGCGTGGGGATGCCTGGAAATCAAATCTCGCTTTATCTGATGGCAGATTTGATAGCCCCCTCTCAAAGGCATCACATTCTCTTTAGTCTCACGGGACTATCACTGACAAGAGGAGGAAGAAACAATGCTCACGGGGCTGTCCAACGTGGGAACCCCGAGGACACCTCCCTAAATAGCCAGCCCCAAGGTGAAGCTGAGTGGAGCTGCGCAGCCACCCGTGCTTGACCCAACGGGTGCTGTCAGCTCCTGGACAAGCTGCAGCTCCCAGATGCCTCCGTCAAGACTTTATTCTCCTCTTGCTTTCCTGTGCTGAGCCTCCATCCCTCAGCATCCCCTTTTCTGTGCTCCTCAGGAGGGGCATGGAGCATTTTTTTTTTTCTTCCAGCTTTGGATGCTGTAGCCCATAGGCGAAATGCGTCAAGAGGCAGAGATGAGGCTCAAAGTGCAGAAGGGCCACCCAGGCAAAAGCAGTGAAGAGGGGGAGTTTGGGGGCAGGTGTGAGATATCTGCTCCTCACAAATCCTTCTTGACCCCAATTTTATCCCCTTGCAGCTCTGCAGCTGCTTTCTGGGTGCAAAAGCTCTGACCCCCCCGAGCTGGAGCAGTGACCCAGGAGAGGCGTGAACCGAGCATCCCAAAACGTTTAGAGAAGGAGCCATCTTCCCCGGGCAAAACGTCTTTGACAGCCTCCAGATTTAGTACCGAAGCACAAGAAAACACAGCGAGGAGCGTGCGGGCCGTCAGCCGGATCCCAGGACATTAGAGGAGACAGTAAGTGATGTAAATTGGTGGAAAAAAAATATTGCCGTTTGGATTGGGTGTCTGGCTTCATTGGGTTTTGCCTGGGTTTTAATTTCGTGTGAATTCAGCGGCTGGTGAAGGCACTCAGCTGACAGCCCCTGGAAAGGAGCAAAAGGAGCTGGTTTGGTTGCGTTTGGCTTGGTTTTTGGGATAAGGGCTTCCCCACAGCCTGCTCCTGCCGCAACAGGCCGGCATCACAGAAAATCCCTGTTTGGGGATGGAGTCGCTGCCTTCCAGCCTCATCCAGCAGCCGATGCCCTTCCTGTCCTTGGTGGATGGATCTGGCCCAAAAAACGAGGTCCAAAGCAGTGTTCCTGGTGCCCTTTGGGAGCGTCTTAAATCCAGGGCAGAGAATTGCAGGCGTCTCCTCCGGCTGTAGACGGTGACCCCGATTTGACACAAAAAAAGGCTGTGAAAAGAGAAGTTTTTCAGCTCCTCTCTCCTGACCTTTCCAGAAGAAGCCTGTGTACTAATTAGCAGAGTAATAACGTGTCGAGGCTGAGATTCCTCATTAGCGTGTGAGAGATTCCCAGCTACATGACTGATATGCATCTACAAGAAAATTAACTTCAGCGCGAGGGCTCCGTAATCAAGATTAATGAGGAAATCGGCAAAGAGCAGCGCACGGCTTCGCCTGCCTGTGCTGCCCGTCCCCCCCTGCCCTTTGCGGGGAGTCAAGTAACCCTAAAATGGGCTTTTTTGAGGTGTTCCTCAGCAGAAAAAAGTCCTCACCAGGTCTGGGAAGGAACCAAGTTTTCCCTTTAGGTTGAAAAACTCAAGGAAATGCTTTCACAATCTCAGCAGATCCCCCAGTGAGCACCTCCTGCACCTGCCCTTGCAATGAAGTCGCTTCACACAACCATAGATATAGCACAGAGGGGTAATTAGCTGCAGGTAATTCCCGTTAACATTAATGGGGATTTCTCCTTGGTTAATTACCCCGTTTTGTGCTGCAAAAATGCACCCCATGCCACTGCTCCCACACGGCTCATGCTCCCTTTGCCTTTGGTTTGACACCTGGTGCGAAAATAAATCGGATCCCTTGCACACCTGTTCCATCCCTGTGGCTTTTTTTTGGTTTTGTTTTGTTTTGTTTTTGGATGTAATGGGAAAGAGAAAGTTCTGGTGGAATCTTGGCTGGAGAGGAGGAACCGGGACGTTTTGTGCTGCCACGGGGAAGAAGCACATCGGGCGGGATTTAAAGCATCAGCCGACGTGGATGCAGCAGAAAGGCCAATCCTCAGACTCTGCCCGTCTTCAAACAGCCCGATTTTCTCTACAGAAAAGAAGATTGGTCTTAATTTATGGACCCCTACCTGATTCCCAATAGAAAAGGAGAATCTTCCCCTGCTTTTCCCAGCCCTGACTGCCGGTTCGCCTCTGACCCTTGCTAGCATCATTCCATCAAAAATAGAAACGCAAGCAGGCAGAAAGCAAAAAAGCATCACCGTAGGCTAACCCAACACACTGTGTTTAACCCCCAATGCTTTGCTTTGCTGCCGTAGCAAAAGTTCTAGCTATTTTCATCCCTTTTTAACAATAAAAAGCCATTGTAAAATGAAACAGCAGTGTTCCCAAAACGCAGCTTGTCTGCTATTTCTGCCTGAAGTTCTCCTCAGAGCCGGAGCCAGCGCATCATTTCCTTGGTTCAAAGCCTCTCTGGGCTCAGCTCGAGCTTGTCTCGGTGGCGAGGAGCCCTGCGGTCCCGCTGCACTCATTTTTGGCTGATCCCACTCCGGCCAGGACCCCGGCAGGGAACCGAAGCTATTTCCTCGATGCCTTCCTCCTCCCTCGGCAGGTCAAGCAGTCGGAAAGCCCGAGGAGCAAAAGGGCCACGTCGTGTAAGCACCAGGCTTTTCACCGCATCCAGGTTTTAATTAATACATATAATTAATATGCTATAATGAACGTGCTCCAGCAGCAACGCAGAAGGGCAGAAGCAAACCACAGAGCACCCAAACCCGCAGCTGTGCTTGCATGCACCAGAGCCACCACACAGAAGTGCTTTTATCCCCAAGTCTTGAAGAGGATATATAATTTATACCCCAAAATATTAAGGTATTATTCCCCCCAAATTACTGTATTATATACCTCAAGATACTGCAATATTATACACCCCAAAATACTTGGGTTTTATTTAGGCCAGCTCCTTGCCTTGGTTCCACCATGGATAATTCCCAAGGTTGGTGTTTGGGCCATAATTATTCATATAAATCTGTGCCAGTGGCTAATGCTTTTAAGAAGTCCTTATTTCCCCACTCCAGTGTAATCACGAGTCCAGGTATTTGCTTTCATTAAATTATCGCTCTCGGTAATGCTCTGATATACGACTCTCTCCCCAGCGTGCTTTTTGGCTCTATGCATTTTGAACACACAGTTGCATGCAAAAAAAATATATTAAAAAATAAAAATAAAGAGGGCAACAGGGCTGTGTTCAGGCAGGGCTTTCCACCCAGCATGCGTGGCTCAATGAGGCTGATCCTGCTCTGAGTTAAAGGACTAAAAACCCACCGCAGCCACCAGTTCGGAGAAGTCCCTCCCAGTTCACACCAGTACAGACCAGTGTGAGATATCGGCTGCTGCAGCACCGTGATTTCTTCACAGAATCATCTAGGTTGGAAGAGACCTCCAAGATCACCCAGCCCAACCTCTGACCTAACACTAACCAGTCCTCCACTAACCCATATCAAAGAGATCTACATCTAAACGTCTTTTAAAGACCTCCAGGGATGGTGACCCCACCACTTCCCTCACTTCTCACCAGCTTCGTCGCCCTTCTCTGGACTCTCTCGAACACCTCCATGTCCTTCGTGTAGCGAGGGGCCCAAAACTGAACACAGAACTCGAGGTGAAGCCTCACCAGGATATATAAATATCTATGCACCAAAAGGGGATCCTATAGCTCATGATGTGCTTACAGGAGAGGGAGAAATGTCCAGGCTATGCAGGCAAAATCCAGCCTGCACGTCCCCATCTGTTCAGCCCCATCCCTTCCCCCGAGCCCATGAGTCAATATTAAGGCTGAATTTTCTCTTTTCCACCAAAATAAAGACCTGGGGGAGTGCAAAAAACCCCCCCCGGTTTTCAAAACGCTGCAGTATTTCACAACTGTAAGTCACTCGGGGAGGTCTTCTGGGCTCGAATGTCATGTTTTTTAGAAAAATGGTGAGTCTTTTGAAAGGATTAGCTTGGCCTTTCTCCCCCTCCCTGCAAATGGAAGGTTTCAGTTTTTCAGCTGGAAAGAACATTTTGTTTCAGAAATCCCTCACTTCTGCCTTAAAAAAAAAAAAAGGGGGGGGGGGGATAAAAAAAAAAAAAAAAATTGAAACATTTCAGCCGCCTCTGAGATGAAATATCTGAAGCTGCTTGGATTTTTCACCCACACCTGGGCTGTGCCAGGAACCCTTCACATTTTCTGTCCGTCCCAGAACAACTGTTCTCCCCCATATGTGCTGCCAGCCCTAAAATTGCACTGCCTGTGGGGGCTGTGCTCTTCCCAGTGTGCCCATCACCCCGGGAGCATCTATCCCATGGGATTTACACCAGGCTCACGGGAAAACCAGGCTTCCAGCTTGGAAATGGAAAACAGAAACCAATTTATCGTAAACTGATCTCTGAACCTTTCGGAAACCCTAATGGGATGTGCATCCCGAGCACACCTCAACCAGCCCACAATGCTAAAAACTCTCCAAATCCACGCTGGGCAGCCTCAAAACCAGAAAAGCACCCAGAAGGGAGAAGCAGTTTGCATGCAGCGGAGGTGGAAGGAGCCCAGCCTCAGCTGGTGAAACATCCCCCATCACTTTGCAGAACGAATCCTCCCAGGAGCTATATAAATATACAAGTGCACATGTACAGATATATATACATGGAAGACGTTTGAGAGGACGTCTTCACAGCTGCATAAATAGGCTGATGACAGCCAAGGGGTGGATATAAATAAGATTAAAAGTTGCAGGCACCCTTTCCCTGGCTTGTTTCCCTCCTCCATCCTAGCATGCAGGATGACACGCATTTTAATTTTAAACTCATTTTCCAAGTCTTTGGCTCACAAAACTAATTGCTACCAATCGATGCTAGATGCAGGCAAAAATGCTGCATTTTTCCCTTTTCCTCCAATACTTCCTGTTCAAAAAAAGAAGGAAAAAAAAAAAAACACAAAACAACAGTAGTGCCAAATCAGGGTCTCTCATATATTCCTCAGCCTTGAAAATGGGTTAAAAAAACGAAGCAATAACTTTAGGATCTTTTTCTGATCTTGCCAATGCTGGCAGCCACACTGAATGCTTGGTTCAGCTTTTTTTCCCCCACATATGAGTAGAAAACAAGAAAATCATTATCAAAATGAACAAGCGCTGAAACAAGAGCAGAAAACAGCCATTGCCTGTTCCCCCATCGTACCTCCACGTTTGCTGCACAAAAATTAAAATAGTTACAGCAAAGACTTCATGGAGCATCTTGTGATAAGGCGGGATGAAAAAAGGATGCTCTACCAACAGTGGATTTTGCATTTTCCCACCCAAATGGCTGCCCCAGGGTTCTGGAGCCCCTGCATGCCCATTTGGGCTGTTTCCAAAAGGAGAGGCCGGGGCTGATAAAGCAGCCTGGGAGGAGAGGGGACGGATCCAGCACACGGAGGGGCATGGTGGTGTCGGGTTGTAGCAACAGCAGCTTTGCAACCGGTGTCAAAAAAAAGATTTTGGTTTGATTTTGGTCAGATTTTGGTTTGGTGCTGGGGTGGTGAGTGTGAGGGGGTGTTTGGCTGTGATGGGGGCAGCTGTGGTTGGGTTGGAAGTGGAGATGGGCTCGTGGGCAGTAGAATTGCAGCTCGTCCCATCCCATCTCATGGGACGGTGCCCCAGGTCCTGCTGACTTTGGGTATCCCAACCCTATCACGCCCTTCAGCCCCCACTGGGTCTGTCCTGTTGGCTTTTACCCCTTTCAACCCTTGCAAATTTGTGGCGAGCCCTCTCCCAGCTCATACCTTGCCAGCTGCCTTGCCCTTGCACCAACCAAAACCAGAGCAGCATCCTCTGCTCCTTCAAGGGTTGCAAAATAACCCCCCAGGAGTGCAGAGGTCTGCAAAAAAGGGATTGCATCCCCATGTCCTCCTCTGAGAATCCCTCCGGCAAGAAAATAGTGTGGGGTTTGCAATGGAGCATCCCTCCAGAGAGTAAATAACGCGGGGTTTGCAAAGCGATATCCATTGCAAGGAGTGAGGAGAGGGAGAAAATACGACCTGAGCCCCCTGAGCTGAGCTTGTGGCTGTCTTTAGTGACTGGAACAAATCCGAAGTGTCAACCAAAACCACATTAAGCATTCAAGGAGACAAATGCCAGGCCTGGGAATAAAGATCGGCGGTTCCCGTTTATTTCTGTAAGGTAATAACAACCCATGCCTTCACTTTATGAAGTCAAATTTGTTACAGTGGATGAGCTGTAAGAAAAATCGTGGAGTTGGGGGAGAAAATAGAGCCTATAAATACATTTGTAATTTTAATACACATTATCATGTAATTGAGAGGGTAAAGGAGGGAGCCAGCATTCAGTCAAGGCAACCTGCAGCCTCCCAGGTCTTTTTGGGTAAGTTGTGAGCCCCTGGGGACCACCGCCATTCGAGGATCTTGGAGGTGCCCAGAAAAGCACAAAGAAAGGGGTAAAAAATATTTGCTGTGATTATCAGGACCTGTGCAAGGAGAGAGGAGGGGTATTGTCCTGTACCACTGGAGCAAGCCTGAAGCACTGCTTTTGAAAAGCCCGAGCCCTATTCTGCAGAGCTGGGACTTGGCAGCTGTTAAAAATCAATAAAACTCCCATCTCTATGGCCAGGGCCACGTGCACAGAGGAAACTTTTAGTGCAAAGCTCTGAGTTTTGCACTAAAACCCGATGCAATGGGGAAAATCCCTGCGGGCATCTCACCAGCCCAAGCCCAGCCTGTGCAACGCGTTTCCAACCTCAAGCAACAGCACAGGACAGACGGACACACGGACAGAACAAAAACCACTTCCTCTGGGACTTCTTAGAGGGCTTTAAGCTGCCTCGAACCCGTACAAGGTTCCCTGTTTAGTCCCCCCCCAAATGTGCATCTTGTTACACTTTGTTTCCCGAAACATTTTAATGGCCTTATCTACATCGCAGCACAGAAGCAAAAAATAAATCATAAAAAATTAAAATTAAAAGCTTGAGCATGGCTTCCACCCGCTTCAGGGGCAGCTGCAGATGGCTGCAAACCACCGGCAGTTGGGCTGCCA